ACTACTAACCTAACGTTAGGTAGTCTACTACTACTAGTACGACTAGTCGTCGTCGGTACGACGAAGTAGTAGTACTATTGTTGTACTATCACTTCTCTCTCTCTCTCTCTCTCTCTCTCTCTCTCTCTGGTCAAGCATTGAAGTTATACCTTCAATTTCCAATGCAGTGTGGACCATAAAATGATTCAAGCTTTCAGCTTCTTTTCGATGGTCTTCTTGGTTTGGATCAAACATAATAATTACATGGATGTTTCCATCACCAGCATGGGCTACCACTGCACTGAATGCCATCAAAACCAAATGGGAAACGACATCAATTTCTCATTTTTATACAAACAAGTTCTCGACTGATAAACTCGATTAAGGAAAAAGGTTTTATCAGTCTTCCTCCAGAAAGTACGTGGAAAAGAAGAAGCACAATCATACTATAAAAGAGTCCTTAACAAGTAACTTCTCGATATACCAGAGTAAGCTTGATGCATCAAGTAGAGCTTTAGTTTTTGATATGCATTCCGCAAGCCTTGATAAAGGAACACATACATCCTGATGTGATTGACAACACATGAGACTCAAAACGCTTGAATAAGATTTTGCTATCAAAAAGATCAAATATTCATAAGCCCTATTTGGAAAATCTCCAAAGCAATACAACCACTACTTATAGTTTCTTAGTAATAGATGGAAAAAACCACGTAAAACACAGAGACTTCTGGAAATACTCCAAAACTAAGAACTTACTCATTTAGTACTAAATGGAACAAAGCAAGCACATCACCAAATAACGAACAGCTAGCATTAATACAAGACAATGTAATTTACCCAAATGAGAACAGGTGCAGATAATGTAAATACACACTCCATGTAGTTCTTATGCTATAACTGTTTACCTGGTGATATACATTAGAATTGCTTCTAAGTATGATAATCTATATAATTTTTTTAGGAATGGTACAGAATATCTCATGTTGATGAAAATTATGAATAAACAGGGAGATAATTATTGTTCTAAAAAACTAAAAGGGAAAGTATATAATGAGACCATTTACTTTGATACAAAGTGGTCACAAATTAATCTTGACCGTTGGATGTGAAATTCGGTGGCTGCATTTATTTCATTGACCAAGCTCAAAGTTCAAAAGAAATTATCTCGAACTTTGTGATGCATCCCAAGCTATCAGATTTCACATTGAATAGTTGTAAGCAATTGTGACCTCCCTGTACCAAAGGTAAATGGTCTCATTGTATACAATCCCAAAATAAAAAGTGTAAAAGAGTAGAGAAAGAGTTTCCTACTCTCTGTATTGGTTTATTAAAAGAGACAAACTCTTTTCGTTGCCACCAATCATATCCACCAAGAAACTAAAGCAACATCAGTTCCAAGAAAATAATGGTAATGAGTCATAATGAGGGAATATGACAATGAGATTTGCAAACCCAGAAAAATGATACCATCACTATTTTCTGTCATGTAACAGATGACAAATTTAACATGGAATTCTGCATTATAATTATCCCCATGGGTGGTTTCAGGTTCAAATCCCATAGTATAAACCTCGAAATTATAGGACAAAAGAAGAAGAAAAAAAGCTTCACCTTATCACCTATCATGGTAAAATCTTAACCATGCATGATACCATGAAGCTAAACAGTTCAGTACAACAGCAATTCACAACAGAACAAGTTCCTGCGAAAAATTAGAGTAGCAAACGAATGAAGGTAGGCAAAAAGTATTCACTAAAAAACTGACCGTAATCATAGCTTCATAATCAGGTGCCATAGCAAAGCATGCCCAAAGGGCCTCCTTTCTTATCTGCAAGAAATGTTTCCTTGTCAGATGAAAGAATCGCAAATGCATAGTAAGATTAACATGAGAAAAACAATCGGTGCAATTCAGGTTTAAAAGCACGGAACAGGACAGGTGGCAGGTGTGAATCGACTCGCCGTGTCCCAAGCCTGACCAATCAAGAGTCAGGCATAATCACTCGATTTTAAAAAGACCAGGACAGACTCAGTCAAGACTCCGTGGTCATTTGGTTAGACTTGGTCAAGAACTTGGGTTATCCAAATGGTCATCCAAAACCGGTATCAAGATGCCTGTTCCGAGTGACTTAGGCGAATACAAGCTGAAATCGCTGAGTTTTTAAACACTGGTCCAATTTCTCAAGGCATAAAGTTTGCATATTTACTATTCATCAGCATCTGCAATTCTCGACAACAACATATATTTCAGACTTACAATCATTAAGAAAGATAACCACACCATATTGTCTACAGGAAACAAATTGACAACTATAAAACCACCCAAGATGATACTAATAGGTACAACCAAAAAATATTTATAAGACCTAAAACTTCATTTCAACTAACATATTTACAAATTTGGTGGTCCCTCACAATCTACAGCACATAGTTGAGCCCCCCAAAACAAAGAGGATTTATTTTTATATGAAAAATCCCGATCTTCTTTAGAACCCCCAAAAATTGATTATTTTAAAAATTTCAGTCCCCCCAAGATCAAATTTGTAAGAAGCATTGATTTGAAGCTCAAAAATTGCTCCAAATCAATTCCCCTCAAAGACCGACTCTGAACTGTCTATTTGAGGGATGACAGATCCAGGTCTCCAAGAGCTCAAAAGCATTTTTCCTAGGGAATTGTTCACAAGCTGAATCAAATATATCTCAAAATATTCAGGAAAAAAAAGAAAAAAAAAATTGTGCCTTTTGGGGATCGGACCACCTAATTAAGTGTTGGGCTAAATGATGTAATTTTTTCCCATACTGTAAAATATCATCTGTTTCTTAAAAATGGACCAAACAATATAAAATATTTCAACAGATGTAGATGTATCCATCATACTTTCCAAAGCTCTGTTTTAGCTTCAGGAGTTTCCACAAACACAAAATTAGTGCCATCATGCTCACGTACAATCTTCTCAACCAGCAGTGTTTGCTCACGTGTATATGCTTCTGCAAAATATCCACTCAAATTGCAAGCATCTAAGAAATAATGCATTAACAGAAACATACAATGTCATACACAATGTCATACTTTGTAGAAAAAACAATTCAATTTGCATTGTGCACAATTTGTAACTGATAGCGTTTCCATGTGTTCCAAGTAACAAAAATAGAAAGAGCATATTTTGTTTTACTTCAAATTTGCTTATTGTCTTTCCATGGGCTATCCTAGGTTCAACTTTAGAAGCCATTAGAGGATGGGTATACGAGTTTTGGAGGTTTCTTTGGTCAGTTAACGATAGTAAGGCTCTACTGAAATGATTTGGCATTATCAGATCTTCCTCCGTCTTCTATTTAAATGCAAATAGCTTGCATTTCTCTGGCTCTTCAAAGCTTTCTTTCCAACTTTCATGTTGACTTTGTCAATGCGTGAAGCAGCATGTATTAAATTTAAGGGAATGAATTAGTCTTCACGGGCCATCCTCTAGAAAGATTTCATCCATGGGAAAGACTAGAAGAACATATTGTTGCATTGGCAGTTGAAATTTGGAAAGTTGAACCAGTCATACCAGTTACAACTAAGAACATTAAATCTAAAAGAGTCAATAGATTCCAAGAACTCAATAGCCACTACATCGACCATTAGTTTAATAAAGAATCAAACTAATAAGGTTTACATAAACCAAAAACATCCAGAATCACCAAGAAAGGGTTTGTCTTCAAACTAAAAAATCAGTTTGTGGGACAAAGTGTACTTACAGATGCTCCATGAAAGGTCAGAGAAAATATTTTGAGGAATATTGAAACAGATTCAGGTTAGTTTATATGCTCCGGAATATAGGTTTAACATCAGATATGAAAAGAGTCTTAATAACATTTTGTGCTTCCCATCAACGATAAGGCTTTACATGGAATCAATTGCCAGAGAAAGCAAATTGGTCACTCTCACTTTGCCGACGGCAAGTATATGTTAAGATGTTATACATTCAGTGTCACAATGTACTCCTCAAGTTAAAGATTATTTGGGATCACGATAAGGGGTAATTCAACTATTCAAGGAGATACATGAACATAATCATGATACAACACATGTATTATATATCTATCATACATAACCAAGCAAAGCATGTATTCTCGAGCTGGACTAACCACCACTATTCACCAAGCCATTTACTTAACACCAGAACCAGGTAACATACAGTTACACGGGAAACCTTACCTTATTTCTAGTACCAGATGACCAGAAGTTAAAAATTAACAGGACCAATAGAATAACCTTAAAGTGCTCATTGTTCCATTTCTATCAAATTCAATTTCCATGAATTCTAGTGTATGTGGTTCTACAAATGTATCAATTTAACGAAGAGAACTTCCAGATTGACTAATGTCTGCTCAATTGGGTTTCCCCATACACACTAAACACAGAGAAAGAGGAAGGGGGTTCTCTACCAGTTCCAATGAATTCAAAGAGCAATGTTGGAACTTCAGGCAAATTTTTTTCATTTGCTATATTGATAGCTCTGATCTGAACCTCATCCAAGAGCTCCACTCTGGAGACCTGCCAAAAAAAGGTGACACATCTAAGTAACTGAATCCAACTTTAGAGTATCTGAATCTAACATCAATGTTGCACAACAGATATACAAACCAAACACATAGATAACCCACAAATGTATTGAATTTAACAGTACATCATCTGAAAATCATCAGCACTACCACCAGCATGAACCAAAACAATATGCAAGTCATTACAAGTTCATTCAAGAATGAAACCACTTTGACGTAGCCTCAAAAGACTATCTTACAATTTCTATCCTACCTCCAATACATCAGTAAGACAAAATCACCAGGTATTTTTCCATGAATTCCTTTTCGGAATGCTACTAAGGAGCTCAAGTCAAATGATTATTTATTAACACACAAATACTGTAAGGAACTCTTCAAAGTTCCACAAGGATAACTAGATCAAAACATCTGTGTTCATTGTTAAAATGACATGAAGGTCACATGCACTAGAAGGGAATTCCTCAACCATAAGAGTTTCAATCAGATTTCCAGCTAACATGGCTCTTCCTACACAGTTTATCTAAACAAATGCCAATGCACAGTATCTAGCACCAGATTAATTTTTCATCACATTATTATTTTCCAACTGTGAAACAGATTTGCTTCACTAGTATTATTAATTTTCTGGCTTAAATTTCTGCGAAACAAAAATGAAAAACCTGATCTTACAACAAAATGTGTGACATGGTGCAGGCAACAGACCATAGAAGATTTTGAATAGCTGCATTCTACTTGTAGTACTATTGTCCAACTGTGAAACAAATCTGCTTCACTTTTAATATTATTAATTTTCTGGCTTACATTTTTGTTTGTGATGGAGGGTTAAATTATTCTTATTTTTTATTTTTATTCAATTTTAAAGGATGTATATTATAGCTTTAGTTTTAACGTTTATTTCTAGGGTTTTTTAATTTTCTAGGAATTCTAGGGTTTTTATTTACTTTTATTTACTTCATGAGTACTATTCACAATTATTGTTCACCAGTACTGTTCATGGATACTGTTAAGAGGGGTAAAATTGTCGTTACAAATTTTAATATGAGGTATGTGGGGCTGTGAGGGGTTATTCCACATGAATTGTGCTTGTGTTTCGTTTTTGCTATTGTTTTTTTTATTGCTCTTCAAATTTCTTGCATCAAATTGATGTAAGAGCCGGCGATCTACACGGAAGGTACTGTAGCAGTGTAAGGAAGTTACTATAGTATGGTATTGTAGCATAAATTTGTATGCCCTAGATCAACAACAAAGCCTAGATCTTGCTTATTTCAGTATGTTTTTGTTGATCATCTTCTTAGGGTTTGTGATTTCAGTGATCCTATGGCAACAAGAGGGGACCGTGGGAGGAGGATTTTTGTAGATCCGCTTCATGATCCCATAGATAAGAGAATTGAGGAACTTGAAGGCAAGTTCAGCAGCTGATGCAAAAGTTCACGAACTTTAATAACAGCCAAGACGGCGATCTTTTAGCCCAAGAGGATCTCGAGTACAAGCCTTTTCACTTTCACACTCCGCATGCGGAATTGAGTGATGAGGATAGTGACAAAAGGCCTAGATGTGAGGAACATCTCTGTAAGATTTTCGATTTGAAAGATGAGATTTTTTATTTTGCCACTGATTGCATCGAAAACTAGTAACTTGTAGATTGGGATTCACTACCAATCTTCGACACATACTCTAATGAACAACAAGATCGTTGAGGGGATCCGATCTAAGATAAGGATTAAGATGATGATAAGATAATTTCGAAGAGGGTGAAGAAGATGGAGAAAAGGCAGCAGAAGTACTGATCCAAATCATGCCCTTTGAAGAATGTATTACTATCAAAGAGATAGAGCATTTAAGAAATTTAGGGTATTGGAAACGTAGCAGTGTAGATGCAATGTGGTCAGCACATAAGCCGCAAATTGTAGCCCTAGCTTCATAAAGTAATGAAGTAAATGTCCAAAAAGCCTCTAAAGCCCAGGAAATTGGGTTTGAAATTTCCTACACAATTTTCAATGGGAGTTTGAGGATATCCATATTTGATAAATTTCAATTGATTCATCAATATGCATATCAAGATCCATTTCTAGAAGAATTCTTTTTATCTTCAATAATATTCAAGCCGACAAAGAAAAAAATAAAATTGAAGAAGGTAGTTTTGATGTTGAATTCATTTTACCACGCTTCAAAACTCAATGACGAGTTTTCTCCAACCAAAGGAGAACGATAGAAGGCAAGAGTTTATTTCTAGGGTTCTTTAGTTTTTTACGAATTCTAGGATTTTTTTTCTTCATGAGTACTATTCATAATTATTATTTGCGAGTATTGTTCATGGGTACTGATCATAGGGGTAAAACTATCATTATATATTAGAAGTTAAGTCAGGATATATGGGTCAATGTATTATTTGTTTGAATACTTTTTGTACTTGGAACAAGATTATTTATATATAAGAAGTATGTGAGGCCTTGAGGGGGTCATTCCAAATGATTTTTAGAAATTGAAAGAGAGAAAAGCTTAGCCTTTTGCAACCCTAGCTTGGGTGTGGAGAAGAAACCCTAGGTTTCTTCAAATTGTGCTTGTATTTGGCTTTTGTTCTTGCTGTTTTTATTTTTCTTCAAATTTTCCTGCATCAGTTTGAAACAAACAATGGAAAACCTGACCATACAACAAAATGTGTGACCATGGTGCAGGCAATAGACCAATAAACATTTTTTACTAGCTCTATTTTACCTGTATCCCCGAATGCATTGTAGCAATTGAAACATCAGCAGCATCCTTAATTGTCTTAAAATTGCACATAGCAACCTGATTTTGAAAGCAAAACAAATATGAGTCCGAATGTGACTGAGGATAAAAGCTAGCAATTAATCAAGGACACTAACCATTTTAGCAACCAATCAGTAAACCAATAAACTAGTAGCTTCTTATTAATCCATCATTTTGTGTAGGTCCGTACAAAGAAAATGCAACATGCATGTATAGAGAGAAGGCTTTGGTTGGGGGAGAAGGGAGTTAGAGAGACAGTAAGTGGCTCAGAGAAAGAGAACGATTATTTTAAGAGTTTCACTTAAGTTGGCAAAACTAATCACAAGCCAGAAGGCAAGAAATGCAACCAAACACAATAGGAAAAATCAAGGCAAATCAAAGGATGATGATCAAATGCTTGTTAAGCAGTCAAAACCATACAAGAGATGGACAACTGTTTCCATAAGGATCATAAAAAGTTGTCTTTTAATTGTTTCAATGAGCTTTTTTTTTTTTTTTGTGAACCATATTTTTGCTTCAGCAGATACTTGCTTCATAGATGTAAACAGAATCACATTGCTTTACCTTTTCTCTTGACAAGTAAATTGCTTACCTTTCATTGTGCCAGATACCCTTCTATATAAGCAATAAAATATGACATGAATAGAAATTCCTTTCCTTCCCACGTGCATGCTAATGTTAAAAATCAAAGTAGCAATATAAGTTTTTAATAGAATAAAGTAAAATAAAATTGACACAAGAGGCAACTATAGGAATAAGAAAGGCTCAGTTTCAAGTGCCTCACTCATAAATATAATTTATGACATTCCAAGGCAGTAGACTTTATGGTCTATCAAATAAATTAGAGTTTCACTTGAGCTTTTATACAAACTCATCTAAGTTTTCTCGACGTAAGACGAGCTTAAGATTTAATTCAATATGCAGCTGACATTTTTCAGCTTGGTGACATCAATCAACTTCTTCATTCTCAAAAAAAAAGATATCGATCAACTTCCTACAAACAAGATCTAGATTGTGTGTATAGGATTTGGCAATTTCAAGACTGTATGTTCCTAGGCTTTTAAAGGAAGTCAGAAATATAAAGAACATTTCATAAATTAATCATATTTCAATATGGATTGAATTTCGAAGTATAATAGCCACAATAGGCTAAAATAAAATTCCATCGGTTTATGCATTTCTGCAAGAAAGAAGGATACATACCACAGAATGTTCAGGAAGTTTCTGAAGCCTGAGAGTCACTTCTGTTATCACGCCCAAGGTGCCTTCACTACCAATCATCAACCGAGTCAAGTCATACCTAATATTGTAGACAAGTTTAGTTTGATACTGGTACATTTTGAAACAAACAATTTTCTTCTAAGGATACTATAATGTTTTTCTCTATATGAAATGACAACACAGTCATATAGATGTTTCATTCAATCATATTGGATTCTGATCAGTTTGCACTATAGAATGCATATATGAGAGGTCGAACAACTCCCAGAAGCATCAACAAGATAAATCCAGATGAATGGAAATAATATTCCTCTACTAGAGTTTCACATGAAAGAGGGCAAAAACACAGAATGAAATACAGGCCAAATAAAACACAACCCAAAGAAACCATTCATAAATGTAAGAAAGCAAATAAAGGATGCAGGAAAACAGAATGAAGTGACTCTTTTATTGGGAAGAAAGCTTATGGGCCACTGTTGAATCAGCCCACCTGCTACTTCCAAATGAAATAAAACTACTCCAGTTGCAACAAGGATGAGAAAATGCAAGAAAACCAAACTAATACCACTGTATCACCTGCCTATCCTCAAGATCAAGCAAGGCAACTGTTCAACAGTGGAAAAGGCACCATTTTTCTCAAATAAGGAAAAACTGATGTCGTGAAAGTTGAATACAAAATTTTATTGATCAATTTGGGTGAAAGGATATTCTCAGAATTCCATAAAAAGGGATTTAGACACTTTATTTATGATATTATCACCCATCTTTTTTTTTCTTTGTTTCTTTTATACAATCCAACTAAACTAACTACAAACTAATCTAAAACTTATCCCAATTCAGGGTAGAAACAGGAACAGGAGCACATAGGTTGTCCCTTGAGATCAAAGAGGGTAACACAGAATAGGCATACCCAGCAGCACTCTTTCGAGCACGGGAAGCAGTCCTCACAATGTCCCCATCTGCTAGAACAACCTGGAAAAATTGACAGTGAGGAGCTAGGCAAAGAATGGAAAATGACTGATGCAAGAAATAACAGACCTGTAGGTTGATAACATTGTCTCGCATCGTCCCATACCTACAAATCGGAAACTATTTTATATATTTTCAAAGCATAATAAATTGCCTGAAAGTAATCTGGTATTGACAGAAATATGTAACAACTTAAAATTTTAAGATGTAAAATGTAAGAAAATTTAGAAGAGCTTAGGAAAAATTGAGAGAAATCTAAGAAACATGAAGGTTTCACGTTCTATAAAAATATGGGATTATTAATATGAAGTAATACATTTTTGTCTTCAATTTTAGATGATTTTATATTCAGAAAAATGAAACAGATTTGTCTGCAGCAAACGAGAGTACCAACACCAGATAGCACAATTAGGTGGATTTCATAGGTTGGAAATAATATGATTGTTTAAATTGAGAAAATCCTACACAACATATTCATCCAAAGAAAAAAAAGGAAAAAGTGATCTTCAATAGTTTCCTAAACCAACCACGCAGAAAGCAACTTTGGAAATCTAAATCACTAACAAGAAAGATATCTTCATAATTTATACATGCCAGATGCATGTAGCTTAACATAACCAAAGATATTCTTTGTTTCATGGTTAATGATATCTTTTAACATCTCATAAATAAAAAATGAGCATTCAGAAACTAGTAATTGCACATCAAGACAGCAACCAAATAATAAATATTATAACTCGTCAAGAGATTGGAAATACATTTTTGCCTTCAATTTTAGATGGTTTTATATTCAGAAAAATGAAAAAGATTAGGCTGCCGCAAAGGAGAGTACCAACAGCAGATAGCACATTTAGGTCGATTTCATAGGTTGTAAATAATATGCTTGTTTAAAGTGAGAAAATCCTACACAACATATTCATCCAAATAAAATAAAAAAAAGAAAAAAGTGATCTTAAATGGTTTCCTAAACCAACCACGTAGAAAGCAACTTTGGAAATCTAAATCACTAACAAGAAAGATATCTTCATAATTTATAAATGCCAGATGCACGTAGCTTTAAATAACCAAAGATATTCTCTGTTTCATGGTTAATGATATCTTTTAACATCTCATAAATAAAAAATGAGCATTCAGAAACTAGTAATTGCACATCAAGGCAGCAACCAAATATTAGATATTATAACTCATGAAGAGACTGTTTGATTACAGGCACTCCGAAGTGTGTGAAAATGCTGAAACGAGTCCTTTTCTCAAGAAAAACTCAAGGGTTGGATTAAGCGAGGAAAAGAAATCAAAGGTTGCCATTGTCCTATGCTTTTACAGTGAGTTAAGAGTTTTCAGATAAGTAATAGAAAAGGGAAGAACGTCATTTGGAGAAAAACATTTCTCAGACTTGTGAAGGATCCATCCTTTTCTCGTAGACATGCATTGCTATTTTTTAACACTGGTGTCATTAAACAGATAACGGCAATGTGTGTGCTAAAAATCAGAAAGATTTATGTACCAAGAAAATTAAAGCTGGAAACTATTCACTAGTCCACAAGATAAGTCCCCAATCCAACAACAAAGAAAATAGTACCAACACTATCTATTTGAGGAAATAACAAAACATGAAAATGTTATGAGGATTATGAATACCTTACTGCCAGAGAACCAGAGCATCTAGTTGCACACATGCCTCCAATAGTCGCACCGGGTCCTGTTTTACCATTGCAACGAAAAATCAATTAAATGAATGAAGATTGTCCTGAAATTAGAGGATTCCAAACAAAAGAGCTGTGGTTAAAGGTGAGAGAAACATATTTTAGTGGTGGCAAAAAGGAAAGTTATTTTAGTGGTTGTTGACTATACTTATTGTAAATTCGTAAAACTAAACCTATTTCCTTGAAACAAAAGTAAAAAAGCTAACCATCTGACCTGGATCAAGCGGAAAGAATAAACCGTATGGTTTCAGATATTCATTAAGCTCCATCCATCCAATCCCAGGCTCAACAACCACATCCATGTCTTCAACATGCAATGATTTAACTCTCTGCAACAGAAGCTCGGTTTCCCAAAACATTACATTCGATACAAAAAAAGCATCAGGTCCCTCAATATACGCAAATGATAACAAATATGAACTTAGAATCCTAGATCTACATTCTTAAATTCTTATAGCAATTTATTCCCAAAAACAAAAACTCTAATGAGACCACAATATATAATTTCATCCATGCAATCAGAAAACAAATGATAAGGCCAGTTAGCACACTTTCCTAAACCAATTAGTACACTCAAACTATAGTACTTTACAATACAGGTAAAGGGACCGAAAGGCTCAGCCAATTGCCAACTGAAAAATAATAACAAAGGGTTTTCACTTATGAACATGTAAATGGGGAAGAATTTATCAGAAAAATAAAAAGAAAACAAGTCGGATTTCTTTCCAAGATTACACAGGGTGGATCATGGGAGTCCTACCTTGGTATGGCGTCAAGGAGGTAAAGGGACACACTAGTGCTACAGATTTATTTTAGATGAGCACGAGGATTCAAGCAGCTTTTGGAGAACCACGAACTGAAGCAGTGAATGGGGTAGGTGTTCAACAGAGGGGATTATGAAGTTTGTCATTTGGTTCTTGTAAGTAAATGGTGAGTGAAGACATAAAACTCATCAGTTTGAAAGGGAGGATGGGGCCAGAGCATCTAGTCACTGTTTCACATTTGTTTAAGTAGTTGCCTATCATGTAAAGTGGAGGTTGTTTTCATCTTCTCAGCATGCAAAGTTTTATTGACAGCAAACAGGCTACCTGATGTCTTTTTCACAAAGTAACTTGTCAGTCCTCTATTTTTTAAGTGGTAATTTAAGCAAATAAAGATCTAACATGCACCTCTAGATTTGGCATCACATCAAGAAAATTCAAAAAGCACATAAAGCTCAAAGCATAAAGAAATGAGAAAAACAAAATAAATAAATTCAATCAACTTAATTAAAGCAAGAAAAAAAAAGAACGTTAGCTTACAAGCCACACCCAAAACAAAAAAGAAATGTTTTGCAATATAAATCGATACCACGTACCTTCATTGTCGACATATCAATGCAAACACCTCCATGAGGAGACAAAGTATGACCCTCGATCGAAGTAGCACCACCATACGGAACAATGGGAACCTGCACAAAAGAAAGACCAATAGACATTCCAAGTAGAGTATCTGGCAACTGAGTTTTGTGTAGGTTTTAGGGATATTCTCTGTTTTTTTAATGTCGTTGTCTGTGAGATTATTGTACTTTGATGTGCACACTTCTTTAGGGCCTGTTTGGATGTGCTCATTATCACTGATAATTCATTTTTTTTAATAAAGTTAACTATGATAACGACTTATCTGCTATTTGGCTATGTCCATCGTAAAGGTATCTGAGATATAAACCTATAAACAGTTTTACATCATAACAGCATGCACCCCCATGTTATTTCTTTGCAACTTCAGGCTTCGAAAACCTCATATATGACCCAAGCAGCGGTACAAAGAAGCCATACTGGCCTACCTCAGAAGAATTGAACACAACAATATTGTTTAATACTCAAGTAATGGCTGCAAAAAGAAACTCAAACCTTATGCTTGTTGCAAGCTCTGACAATCTTAGATACTTCCACCTCTGAACTGTAGATGCAAATAAAGAATTGGACGCTATGACAACTCATCAATACTGTATTCAAGAAAGAAAAAATAATACATTCAAGTAGAGCAAGAAATTGGGCCATATGTTGCTCGTGAGATAGATACTTCTACCTCTAAAGCATAGGACACGGACACTTGAAACTGGTTAGAACCATAAATGTAGCAATCATACATGAGAGAGAATAAAACTATAAATGGACAAATCAAGAACTGGACATTATACAGTCAATCAAAAACCATACATGCAAGAAATTTTACCAAGTCATCAGTCCTAGTATGATAACATAAAAGAATTACATCCGAGTGTTAGCAATCTATGCCTCAATGTTTCCAATAAGGGATCTAATATATCAATGGTGCAAGAAATAAATAAAACTTCAAAGTACAGCACCTGGGATACACGATCACATCTGGAAAATTAACTGCTTTGTGAAAGCTATTTTGCGGCGTCCCATGTAGGAACCGCTCATCATAATCCAAACTAATATTACCCTGCCAAATGATTATTATGAAACTAAGTTAGCTATAAGTAAATATAAAGATAATCTACCACCACACATGCCCCAGAAAAAAATAAGATATTAAAGAGGCTACAAACTACAACAGACCAAAATATTGCTAAAATCAGCTACTTGTCCACAAGAGTTTTGGTATATATCCATAACAAGAGTTACATTGATTACAACAAAAAAAGCTAAAGACACGAAAAAGATAACGGAATTTAGACATACTCCTGTTGAGGCCACATGCCTAACATTATATGTAGTTATAAACAATGTGGAATGATATTTCTAAAACATGCCAGAAATGCATAAGCCAATCATAAGCAAATTACATGGAAAAAAAATGTGAAAAGGGCAAAAGGGTAACGGAAACTACATTACATATAGTCCTCAATTCGTTAATGAGCTCAAGTGGAACATCTTTATGATAGCCTTGGACCACGAGCTCAGTGCTTCCTTTGCCTCCAAGACTGCAAAAGTCATAACTAACACTGCAGTTAACCAATTTTCCTGACTTTCCATTCACTATTGTCAAAGTAAATACATAATAGAATATGCCATAATTCATCAAAATTATCCCATGTATCATTTATTCTAAGAGAAGCTGAAAGTTGAACATATCAGTGAGTGTTAATCGAGTAAAGCCTTTCAGAGTTTACCGATCATGTTCATAATCAACCAAAACCAGAAAATATACCAATCCAAGAATCAAAACATCGTTCATCAGCTAATTGTCAGACTTTTGTAATTCAAAACATCAAAGGAATTCACCCCGACTCGACTAAATTATAGGAAATACATATACCAGTTATCATATGCTAAATCAAATAATGAAGAACAAAATCACTTTGCCATCCTTTTGTCGTTATGAAAATCAATTCGTATTTCCATATTTTTGCAAAACTGAGGTATAAGACACTTCTGTAGAACAATACTAATCTAATAGAAATTTGTTTGAAAGCCCCCTTGTACATCTAACTTAAACAAAAATATAGGGGGAAAAGTTAGACATAAGTTTTTGTTATAATGTAACTGAGCCAAATTCATCCAGTCTTTTAACCAAAATCAGTGCTACCATTTGGCTCAAATTCCTTCTCGAACTTCTCAAAAGTTTCAGCCATTTTCATCTACCAATCATTTGAATTCAGATCATTTTCACCTAAAAATACACTCCATAAATTACCCAAAATACAAAAATCATCAATATTCAGTTGAATTTGCATCATTTTACAGAAATTTTTCAGTCGATACATCAGTAGGCCAAAACAAAACAACGGGATAAACCAGTCTCAATATTTCATGGGGAAGAACCATTGAACGCCATTTCCATTTCTGATTCTGAAAATAAATCCTAACCTATGACCGCGATCAGGTTCACAGAGAGAATGAGTTTTCTCAAGGTTTAGAGCATAAGCTCCAGCTGAGAGTGCAACTGCAACTGCAATGGGCAAAGACGAAAGCCATGGAAGAAGAGATCTCCCCTTTTGATGATTGACGTATTCATGGTGAGATGGAGCTCTGGTGTGGAAATTGAGGGTGGAACTTTGCAGGAACCTCAAGAAGTGGGGTCGGCAAAAGTTAGAGCGAGAGAAACGGGGAAGAAACGCCATTGAAGAGAGAGAGAGGGATGGAACTTAAATTGTGGACTGCAGGCACAGTTTGCAGCGTAAACCATTTGAAGTGCATACGACAATTCCCGCAGGAGCAAACTATATGCTTAGTCCCTCGGCACATATAAATCCGTACGAAATTCAATCGGAGTGCGTTGACTATGCGTCGCGGGGGCATAACTGTGCAACTACTCCCTCAGTCAAAATACGGAGTTTTTTTTTTTTTAATGAAATTTTAAAGGGTGCGGTTGGTATAGAGCCGAGACTCTAAACAATCAGGGTAAAGCCTATCTTCAAATAGTATCAAGAAATGTGGTTTTAATGTTGAAAATCTTTGTGACAGCCTTAAAATATATTTTTATCTTAAATTATAAAAATTAAAGCTTTAAAAATAGTATAGATCGATCAGATCTATGAAAATCTTGAAAATTGACAGTCCAAAAATGCATTGCCAGATGCACTAATTCCAAAACTTGAAATCCATTTTTTTTCTCGAGATCCATGCATGTTGATGTAGAGATGATCAATTTGAGGATATTTGGGCATCAAAACAACTTTTTCTAGTGAAATTTTTTAGTATGGGTTAATTTGATTGTTTAGATCATCGGCTCTATAGAAACTTTTTCTAATTTTTTAAAAACCACTTATCCCTATATATAGGCTTCTTTATATAAAAGTGGATAATATAAAAGGCAAACTTCATCCTATAGAGCCAAAGCTCTAAATAATGAGAGTAAAACCTACTTTCAAATAGTCTCAAAAAATGCGGTTGCAATACTAGAAATATTTGTGATAGCTTTAAAATATATTTTTATTATTTAATTATAAAATTTAAAGCTTCACAAATAGTGTAGATTGAGCAGATTTATGAAAATCTCGAAAGTTGACGGTCCAAAAATAAGATAAAAGATGCACTATTTCCAAAACTTGAAATCTATTTTTTTCTCATGTCCATGCGTTTTGTTGTCAAGATGATCAATTTGAGGATATTTGGAAACTAAAAGCAACATCTTATAGTGAAAATTTTGAGGTGTGTTCTAATTTGATTGTTTAGACTTTAGAGGTACAACTCTATATAAACTTTTTCCTTAACAAAATAGATCGACCATCATGTAAAGATAATAAAGTTAGAATTTGATGGTACAACATGAGGCCGTGGTCATGAACTTTTGCATAGATAGAATATAAGAGGCAATATTAATAAGAGTCCAAAAACTAAGTGGTGGGATTAAAAAATTAAAAAATACAAACTTATTTAGAGATAAATTAGTTAAAAAAAGAAGATGAAATTCTGAACATGAAATTAATAATATGTCGAATGAAGGGGCTGACTGTATTGAGAAAGTGGCAAAATAAAAATTAGAATAAATTAAAGGGAAAATAAATTTCGATAACAAAACTAGATGGTACAAATGTTCAGAATGCCATTAACGCAAAACGATCATGTTATAAAACTTAACAATATAATATAAATGATCAAAACTTAAAAATATATAAGTATAAAACGCTCAACAAATAATAAGTAAAGCTAAATTTAAGACATGATAATCAAATGTGAAGAGTTTATTTTTAAAATTTATTAGATGACAAACACAATGGAAACACGATGTTTATAGACATGCTCGATTTACATTATTTTAAAAATTTAGAATTTCATAATTAGAGTTGAACAAAAATTTTTAATGGCAAGCTTTTTATGTTTCGCCTACAGCATAGAAGTTTTATCTAACCGTCCATTCTGAATGGAGGGCTAAGATTGCCCCAATCACAATGTCACGTTTTTACACTACTTTATTTTTAATTTATTTTATATAAACTATTTTGACACCAAATTTTGGACGTCAATTCCTCTATTAAATCCGTACTAGTGAAAAATATAATTAAAGTATATATTTTCAATAAAATAAAATGATCAAAATATCTCTGAATTTTAAATGGGCATTTGGTCATTACATTTTATCAAAAAATTATTTTTAAGTTGTTTTATAGGTGCGCCCCCAGTGAGAAGATAGCACTACCAAATTTCATATTCATACAATTTGTATAAAAAAAGCTAAAAATAAAATACTGTGAGACGTCAGATCTAAGATCAAACGGTAAGTGGCTCTCTTGATCAAAATTGGACGGCTGGATAGTAGGGAAAGGATAAAATTTCTATGTTGTAGAGGAAGTATAGTAACTTTTCCCATTTTTTAAACCATTTGTAATGTTCCCAAAACTAAAACTACATCTTCTAGGCAAAATTCAAGGTGTGCCTCAATGAAGACACAATTATTACAACCATTAGATGTGAATTTTGATAGCTTAAGTGTGTTACAAAGTTTGAGAAAAAATATTTTGAAGTTTGAGTCTGGTCAATGGAATAAACACAGCCTTCCAAGTTTCAAGTTCACATTAATGGTCAAGAGTATTTGTGACCATCTTGTACCAAAAACAAATGGTCTAATTGTATATTTACTCTTATAATAATCTTTTGTGGCGCTGCCTTTTATTATTTATTCAACATGAGGTTAGAAATTTAATTTTGGAAGTCTAAAAATTTTTCTTATTTGTCATACTCTCTCTCTCATGCTTATCTCTCACTCCTTTAGTGTTTCCAGAGATAAGTACCGATTAAACACGAGGAGATAAGTATGGGGAGAGACGTTACTTCTGGTCCTGGTGTCGTGAGAACCTGTTTGCAAACTCGGCTTGTTAAGTTTGGAACTGACCCGTTCAACTCAGTATCGACCAATTAGATTAGAACCGGGCACTGACCGGTTAAATTGGAATTGGGCACGAGCCAGTTTCGATTTTAGCCCGTTTTGGTGGTTTGGTCGAGTATTTAAAAATAAAAATAAAAAATTACATAAATCATAAAAAAAAAAAATTTGTCTGGAATGAGTCTTTTTAATGTTCTTTATCATATTGACAAAGATGGGAAACTGTTTTGGCTATGAATACTTATTTTTATATTTTATTTCTTCTTTTTAAAGACAAATTTAAAATTTTTCCGAGCACAATTTGATTTTTTAGAATCCATTATTTTATTACTAATTTTCAATTTCATTTTGATGTGTTTTGTTTAAGGAAAAAGTTTATATAAAGATGCAACCTTATAATGTAGAACTACGGATGCACATAAAAAATCCATCGAAAAATGTAGTTTTAATGTTAAAAAACCTTTTGATCGATCATCTTGACATCGAGATGTATGACCATGAAAAATAAAAAGATTTTAAGTCTCATAAATAGTGTATTTTACAATATATTATCTACCCCGTCAATTTTCAAGATTTTCATATGTTTGTAGATCTACTTGATTTTAACTATTTTTGAAATTTAAATTTTATATTTAGATATAAAAATATATTTTGAGATAATCTTAATAACATTTTACATCAAAATTATATCCCATAATAAAATCTGAAGGTGCAGCTTACCTCTACTTTTACCATGCATCAGTATGCCAACTGCACCGTTTGTTTAATGATGCTTTAAATATATATTTCACAATTTTTTTTTAGTTTTTTATTTTATTTTATTTTTGACATTTTTTAACTGATCGAGACCTACCAGGTTAGGCCAGTGAACCGGCCAGTCTACTGGATACTCAGAATCAGCCTTAAACCAATTTTCAAAAATCGGTTCAATGTTTCAAACATTAGTGAGATCACGGAATTACACACATTTATAAAAGGACTTTTAGTTTGTTCTAGTTTGCAAACCCATCAATATCCAATCAATGGGAGTATTTTCTGCACAATACCATGGTGATTGAAAGTCTGGTGAATTTCTGGCTTGTCCCAATTTTCGAGGTCTATCACCTTCCAATTATTGAAACGCTCTCTCTCCTCTTTACTTAAGTACGGTGAACATAGAATTACCACTTCCCTAAGGGGTTGATCGGTTATGTGGCGGACCACTTGGCAAATGTGGCCGCATCTTGATTGGCATTGATGTCCTTGCCTTTATTTTTCTCTCCTCTTTGGTTATTTTGTTTGTTCTTATTTTTATTTTTGTTCCCTTGTAACGTTTTCTGAATATTGTTGTTTTTATTTTTTATTCTTGATAACTTTTGTTTTAATTTTTTTTTTCATTCCCTGCTCAATGTTGTTTTTATTATATTTATTCTTCTTTTTTATTTTTGTTCCCTTGTAGCCTTTTCATTATCTCAAAGTTCTTTTCATTATTATTGTTAGTTTTTAATTATTCCCTTGTAACCTTTTCATTGTCTCAATGTTATTTTCACTTTTGTTCCCGGGTAACCTTTTCATTATCTCAATAAAGATTGTACTTATTTAGAAAAAAAAAAAATTTGATTGGTTCCCATGGAAAATTATAAAAAAATAATTACTCAATTCCATTTTTTCTATATTTAGTAAATACCCTTGTAAATAGGTAAGAGAGAGAACATGACAACAAGCAAGAGATAACATGAACAAAAAAACAAGCATATGTAAAAAGATTACAAGTATATATAGAAAGGAAGATACTACAAAATACCTATAGGCGAAAATGAAAAGTGATTTTGTCTACCTTCATTATTATCAAAATTTCATCGCACGGTCACAGTTATCCGATAGTGTTTCAATTTTTCATTTTTTTTTATTAATCGGAATGAAATGAAATTTAGCGCGTGTGTACATCTTAGTGAGGCCAACCTAATAAAAATATGAAAAAAAATAATTCATAAATATAAATCGACCAAAATACCCTCGTAAATTTATAAGGTATTTTGGTTAATTTTTATTTTATGAATTATTTTTTTCATATTTTTATTATGTACGCCTCACTAAGATGTATATACACTCCAAATTCCAGCTAATTTGGATTTGTAGAAAAAAATGAAAATTGAAACACTACCGAACAACTGTGATTGTGCGATAAAGTTTGGATGATGATGAAGGTAGACGAAATCACTCTTCATTTTCATCTATAAGCGTTGGGAAGAATTTTCCATATAAAAAGGAATATTACCATAATAAATTAATTAACTATATCTGACATAATTTATATATATATTAAAACAAAAAAAAAAAAGGAAAACTATAGGGGCTCTTTGGACTGGCTTCCTAAACATGTTCCAATTATTTTTTAAACCATAATATTAACCACGATGTTATTTATTTTTGCACCACCCCCTCAAATAATAAAGTAGTTCGTTACCACAAAAATTAAACCCCCATATATAAATTGAAATTTGAGATAGTTTATCTCTTTAAAATTTTTGAGATAATTTTCTTTTAAAACTTAGAAGTTGATACAATCTCTCTCTCTAACCGTTTTAATATAGTTTCTCTCTCTAAAGCTTAAAATTTAAGACAATATATATCTCTACAAATTTGACATAGTTTCTCTTTGAAAATTTAAAATTTGAGATAGCTTATCCCTTTAAAAACTCCGAGATAGTTTATCTTTCTAAAAATAGATAATTTATTTCTATAAAAAAATTGAGATAATTTATATCTAAAATATGAAATTTGATATAGTTTCTACCTCTAAAATTTTGATATAGTTTCTCTCCTTAAAACTAAAAATTTGAGAAAGTTTTTCTCTCTAAAAATTGACATGTTTCTCTCTCTAAAATTTTGAAATTTAAAATAGCTTTTCTAAACTTTGTGATCGTTTATCTCTCTAAAAGTTTTAAGACATTTTATTTCTAAAAATTTTGATACAGTTTCTCTAAAACTTGATATTTGAAATAATTTCTCTCTAGAAAATTTGACATTGTGTTATATCTAAAACTTAAAAAATTAGAATGTTTTTTTCTATAAAAATCTTGAGATCGCTTCTTTACCCAAAACTTAAATTTTGAGATAGTTTAATTTAGGTCCGATGGAAAAAATAACCCTATGGAATGTTCTCCCCACCTCATGCAATAGGGAGTTATTTTCCTATCAAAATGGTTATTTTACGGTAAAGCTTTTTCACATAGAATAAATTTCTATATGTAAAAAAAACATATTGTGTAACTTTTGTATTCATATGGAAAAAAAATTATGGGGATTATTTTCAAATGAACCAAACAACCCCTGAGCATTTTTATACCCACTTTGTAAGAATAACTCGAGCAACCCAATAAGGTGAACCTATTACAATTACTACAATCAATTTTGGGATAAAAATAAATTAATTAAAAAAAAACAAGGTCATTGCCAAATTTGCAAGCCGTTGACACATTCATGCATTTGCAACTCAACCCACTCAAAACTAGAACAAATAATGCATATATACACCACACAGAGGGCCACTCATAGCCGCGTCGAATAACCAGAACCCCCACATTTCTTGCATAGTATCAAGCCTGAAACAAAATGAAGACAAACAAAGTTACGAAACTGCACTCAAGAAATTGCACATAAGATTAGGGGTGGCAATGGACCCGACCAAGACCCGGACCAAACGGGTAGACCCGACCTAGGGTCCTGGTATGGGTCCAATTTTTTTACCTGACGGATAGGATTGGGTTCAAAACCTGGACTTTAAGCCCTATTCATTTGAGTGTATTACTGATCGTATACAATAAGAACTTGAAGTATCTCTAGCTATTAAACGACAAATCAGACGGCTTGAAATATAATGGCGGGCGATTGTGACCTTGTTGCCAATAATATTGTAAAACAAATGGCAAAAACAGAAAAAAAAAGTTCATTGAGATAGGGTGGAATGGACCCGAGCAGACCCGGGACCCGACGAATAAACTTGAGACCCAACGGGGACCGGAATGGGTCAAATTTTTTGACCCAAATACTATTCGGGTTAAGGTCCGGTTCCGGCAAGACCTGATCCATACCTGACTTGTTTCCACCCCTACATAAGATCAAACCAAGGTTTCAAAAAATGCTAGGCGGTGTGGCGCCCAATGCCCAGTGCCACCCTTACATAAGATCAAACCAAGGTTTCAAAAAATGCTAGGCTGCCTGCCTGGCGACCAATGCCCAACGCCTACGCGGGCGCCTTGTAATTTTTAAAAAACGAGAAACGCCTAGCCTGCCTGGGCGCCCACCTAGCACCCAGGTACATCCGCCCTGGGCACCCGCCTAGCCCGCCCATGTACATCCGCCCAAGTAGGGCCACCTGGGTCTAGGCGGGCGAATTTTTGGTCCTAGGCGGACCGTTTTTAAAACATTGGATCAAATAAAAAATTAATAAACCCACTACTATCTCGTTCTTAAAAAAGTCTGCCTATTGGACAATTTTGAAAATAATTGTTACGTACATCACATTGAGTAGAATATATCATTTCATGATGAAGTGATGGAGGGATACCTGTACATTGTCCTTCGATTTATTAAAATTTTATTAGAACGTGTTTGTTTTGTGGAAGAGGAGGGCTGCCCCTCTTCTGCAAAGTTTGGAAGCTACCACTTCCATGAGTTACCATGGAATTGGCAGCCTCTAAAAAACAACAGCGATCTGCCATAAGCAACAGCTTCCAAATGGCTCTTGTGGTACAGTTCGTTGAAGCCATGGGTCACATGAAAAAAACGACCAAAATAGTAAAACCTAAAATTAATACAATGGGTGGGTAAATATTGGCAGAACTAAAGCTGAGAAAAGTTGCATGAGCAAAGATTGGCTGCAAATAAGAAGCTCAATAAGTAAGAATGTGATGACAATGTCACATAAGTAATCCATAGTAGAATCTTCAAACTAAGAGTATGTAATTAGGATTCATAACATCAGCTTTTATACTCGTACTCCAAATTGGACTATAAACCATAGAGTTCATAATCACGGACCTAGTGTATTTATTACTTGAACTTAATACACAGGTGGGGTACTTGTGGAGACCCCTACGAGCTTACCACAAGAGAAAATAAAATAAAATCAAATATCATCGGGAATGGAAGCAGGAATAGGATGGCCTTGGTATGACCAAGGGGCCAAAAGGCCCCTTGGTTCATAATCATGGACCTATTGTATGTATTACTTGAACTTAATACACAGGTGGGGTACCTGTGGAGACCCCTACGAGCTTACCAAAAGAGAAAATAAAATCAAATCAAATATCATTGGGAATGGAAGGAGGAATAGGATGGCCTTGGTATGACCAAGGGACCAAAAGGCCAAGCTTAAGGCTGAGTACCCAAATGTCCTTAAACTATATGAAGCATGTTTATTCTACAAAATCCCAAATCAAGGGGGATATGCTGAAGGAGGAAATCGTAAGTGTCATTTGAAATCCACGATAATGAATGAAGTAACAAGGCATTGAATGGTAGATCAATCTACAAATTAGATGTGGAAAAATCTATGACAATGTGGACCACCACTCTCATCAAATACATTTTAGAGTCATATAGGTTATATCTGGACTCGTATGTCTCCATTTCAATTAATGGTTGCCCATATATTCTTTGATAATTTAAGGGCCACTTATGATCCTGAATCTTCATATTCACAAATACCGCAGAGCAAAACTAGAATCAGCCTCCTAAAGGGCTTTTCGGGATGCGTTTGGTAAAACAAAGAGTTTGGGACTGAACGATTGAACATTTTGGTAGAAGCAGGTCAGCTAGAAAAGCCAATATCTTGGTGGACAATGCGTGGATGGACATGCCAATTCACTAATATTCCATGACTTCTCTCATAACTATTCACAAAGATGTTTGAAGTGTAATAGGTGGAATCCTTCTCTACTTTGAAACTAGGTCACTTCATTTATGGGGACAAACATCAAGGATCATGCTCATGACGGCTGACTTACAACTAGGGCGTCTACAACTCGGCCAAAGGTCATGGGTGACATCCTTCTCTCTGTCCTTCACAACACCATGCTTAGTCCCTCTTCACAGTAGAGCTGCATCCTTGACACATTCTTGCCCTAGTTTGTAAGCTTCTAGGTACTGTATGGTGTAGTTTGTATGTTTAATTGTTCAATGCATTAATCCAAACCACTATCAGTCAAAGAGATCTCCTTTCTCTCAAACGACGAACAAGTGTAGGATTTGTCTTTGTTATTTATAACCATTGTTATGGAATAAAAAAGAAAAGATAATGTGATCATCATAAAAACATACCTGCACCTTTACATACACGACAATCAACCAAGCCTGTTTCTTGCCTCATTTTGCCATCACTGCAAAATACACACTTTGTTCCTCCTAGTACATGAAAACACAGAAGGAAATAATAAGTTACTCATCTATTTGTCCAAGCTAAAGAAAAGAAAATGTGGAAACAATAGCAGCAAATTGCATCTTACAAGCATTTAAGAATGGATAATACATCAGATACTAATTTAATGGGGTACAAAGATGGAGAGTTGCATAATAGTTTATAATGATCAAGAGTAATGAACAGCCTGACTAAAATATAATCAACAATATAAGAAAACAATATTGCTCACGTGCTCAAATTTAAAAGTACATAATATGGGAATTATTCTTATGAGTTGCTGACAATTTGATTCAATGTATCGAATAAATGTGGTAATAACAAATAATCGAAACAAGTCAGCATCCACTTATGAACAAATAATAAACATAAATATGATGAACATTTAAACAAAACCACATAAATGAGGTTTAGATTATCATTGGGAACAGTTTTCAGAACCAATGTTTACAGAAATACTCGCTAAAATTCAATGAGCACAGAGATTAGGGACCATAAAACTCACTATCAAAAAGAAATAGATCACATTCAAGAATGCCAAATAAAGTTGGGGTCATTTGAAAGCACAAAGAACAAAATCACAAGTTTACTATAATTCAACCTTAATGTTTTCACACTAGATGGTGTTAGTTCCCACAATGAGTTGTGTGCCAAAAGCTTTTGACATTATTAATAATTGGAAAACTGATAAATTGGAAGGCCCTCACCAAAGAGATCCTAAGTCCTGAGGACTAGTAGCGAGGTAAATTTCCGATGATAGTATTGTTAGTTAATATTATAGATTGAAAGCCGCTTTGTAGTTGGGTTATCAGAGTCACTTTGCTGCATCTTCTTAGCTCGAAGCCTTTCGGGTTTTACATCCAAACCTCCCCAATGTCTTACTGGAAATCAGTATTATTTTCAAATTTTCTGATATGGTAAAATTCGGCAAAAGTACCTCTACAATATACAAATTTTTGAAAAGTAAACCTCCATTTTGTTCTGAATTTGGAAAAATAGATGCTATATATTAATCCATTTTGAAAATGTCTAGTAATACATATTTCTCTTTGGAAAAAAATATATTTCTCTTTTGTAGAAACATAATCTCTCTCTCATGAATTATAAACGAAATGAAGCAAAAGAGAGGCTTGGATGAGTACTACCAAAGATACAATTGAATTCAGAAAAGGTGGAAAAAGAGAGCTGTATTTGTCACAACATCTTCATATTTGCATTCTCAACGTAGATAATCCTAGAACAACTATTTGAAAAAGGTACAAAAAAAATAAAATGAAGATGAGAAGTATCACCATTCCCAGCGCATCTTTGGCAAGGAACTGGATCCCCCTGTAAGTAGAAGTATGAGAGTTCAATTAATTGCAGGCAAAATTTGCAATTCAACAAATTATAACTTCCAAACTTCAAGAACTAAGAGAAATAAAATAAAGCAAACATGGAAATGGAGAGAGAGAAAGAGAGAGACCCTGCCTTAAAACCCAAGAGGAGAGAGAGTGTGATTGTAATCAAGACGCTAATGGTTACAAGCAAAGTCTGCGTGTCTAGTGGCCTTTCACCACCATTAACAAACAAGAGTGGGTTAACAAGTAACAATCTATAATTTAGAAACTTGGGTTTTGCTCCATTTTTTATCCTCAAGCTCTCTGGTTTCCCAATTTGTACCGGAGAAAGTTGGGCATGGGGAAAATTCACAGGTAAAGAGAGAGAGGGATATGAGGTAGAACAAGATAATTTGTGAAGGGTGGATGAAAATGCAGCCATTGAGTAGAAGAATAAGAGAATTGGTTCATACCTACATTTGGTTTTGTTTTTTTGAACCTTAAGGGCCTTTAAAAATCATGTGGAACGGAATGGATGGCCTATCTACTCCAAATATTTCATCCCTTGTGTATTTATCCATGGAAAATAGTTAGATACGGCAAATAAGTATAACTCATGGAAATTTGTAACTTAAGCATAGGCTCTAATATCACTGTTAGTGCATATTGTAATAAATTATTTATATGCTCCATTTCACCTTAAAGGTAAGTGTTCATAGATCCCTCAAGATTAACCAATGAAATCCAAAAATAGACTAATGAAATCTATTACATGAAAATAAATTAGAAATATAACATTTCGATGGTTGGATAATCTTTAAGGGGTCGATTGGGTACCTGGAAATCTATTACGTGACAATAGATTTTGGGTACCCGTAATAGAGATTTTGGGTAGCTGTAACCCTATTATGAGATAAGAGATTATAAGGAAATATGGCATTTAAACGAGATTTTTTCAAAAATCAAGAAATTCATATAATTTTGGGAATCTTTCGTGTCATTTTTGCCTACTTTATCTTTGATTAAAAAAATCAACTAACCCCTTTCTCTTCATAATAATTAGGTGATCCCTCCCTTTTTTAAGCTCGTCCCGCATCAGCTGTCATGTAAAAACAGAAATAATAAAAATAAAAATCACTAATCAATGATAAATTACACAACATAATCATAATAAAAAATTTCACATAATGTGATCCTTCCCTTATTAAGCTCGTCCCTCGTCTGAAAGCATCAGTGTCATATAAAACAAAAATAATAAAAATAAAAATCAATAATCAATGATAAATTACACAACACAATCATAATAACAAATTTCACAATAACATACATCTTTAGTCTCATCCAATACCTCCAAATTTTATACTGTAATTACCAAAACTTCGAGTTTGCTAATCAAACTTCTTCCCATTTTTTAACTCCTACTCTATAGATTTTGAATTTAGTATCGTAAATTTATTGTTTATTTGAAATTCTATAGAGAGACATCTGAAAGACTTCCATATAAAATAAATAAAAATAAGGTTTATCATAATAAAATTATGTTATTCCAATTATATTGTTCCAATAATTTATCATGTAAATCATGACTTATCATATAAACCAATGTCATGTTAGAAAACATGTGATTGCATATAAGTGCCAAATGCACTTAAAATAAGAAGGAAATAGTGTCATTACTGGAAAATGATACAAGTTATTAATAGAAAATCTTTTTGGAATGGTGATAATGTTATTATTATAAATATTTTTGAATGGTGTGATGATGATTTTAATTTAGTATTTTAGTGGAATTTTGTGACAAAAAAGAATGAAATGATAATTCTGTATTTTAGTGGAATTTTGTGACAAAAAATAAATAAATGATAGTTTATAGGCACGTGTTGGTAAAATGTTGGTAATGCATTCCCATATTTCTTCTAGACAAAGCCAAACAGTAACAATGTATTTTTCAGGTTGCATCTAAATACTACCAAACAGTAACAATCCATTTGCAGGTAATGTATTACGCCAGCAATATATTTCACAAACAATATATTTCCAACTATCCAAACAACCTCTAAATCCTAATGTAACTCAAAGAGAGAGATTAGGGCCGTGAGCAATCCCTGATCGAAGGAAATCATTCCGACGGGTCTCTTTGTGATTTTCGCTACCCAAAAATCCCTTAATTCACCCCTACTAAACTAAAAAAAACTTTCTTCAACTAGTCGTTAAAACGCAAGAGCTCTATCTTCTGCAACCAATGGTTCCTTTTGCAAACCGAATAGCTAAACCTCAAAAATCACACACCAGCCCCATCTTTTTCAACTAGCAGCTAAAACTTGACAGCCCCAGTTATTGTTTATTTTCAAATATCCAATATTTATTTTTTAGGTTATGCAATTACAGTTGTTGTTGTTGTTTGCTGATAAATTCGAAATACTATAGTTCATTCACAGAGAATCGTCAAATGTGTTTTAATTGTTTTTTTTCATAACTTTTTAAATTAACTTACCCCTTCAATCTCCTCCAATGCCCCAACATAATTTCTCCCCCAATACATATGATTTCGTCATAGAAATTTCTAGGTTACAAGCCAAATTTCTTAAAACTTTTTTTTTTTCTTTTAAATTTGCCCATGGAAATTTTTTGGTATAGATACAATCGAAAGTATTTAGCACAAGAAAATAAAACATAAAAAGTATGATAGATTATCATAATAAAAGTACTTTATTTCAAAGTGTTAACATCTTGAAAACATGTGATTCCAAGTCAAGACGCAAAGGCATACAAAAGGTGTGGCTAATTCATATGCCAGATGCAATTATAAAGTCTCGACCATGTTTTGGGTATAAAGCCAAAAAAGAAAAAAAAATGTCGGTAATGCATTTCCCATAATTATTCTGGATAGCCAAACAGTAACAATGTATTTCCCAGATTGCATCTAAATACTATCCAAACAATGACAATCCATTTTCAGGAAATGTGTTACGCTAGTAATATAGTTCAAAAACAATAATTTTTCAGGTATCCAAATATCTTTACCATTTTTTAGTTTCATAATTTACTGTTAGTGTTGGAAATTGATTTTGGAGCCATCGTGCATACTTCATTTATATTTAAATTTTATATTTATGATAAATTATCAGAAATATACCTTATTTGTTATCTAATTGAAAAGAAACCCTCGACTTTTATAAACCTCGTCCATACATTTTTTTCTCAATTTTGATATTTTTCTACCAATATAGCTGTCACGGTAATCGTATTACAGTAACAACTATAGCATTATGATCCTTTAAGTACCATAATGACCAAGCCAAGCATTACGGTGCTTTAAGTACCGTAATGACCAGGCTAAGCATCAAGGTATTTTAAATACCGTAATGTTTAGCCTAGTCATTGTAGTACTTAAAGTATTGTAATTCTTAGCCTAGTCAGTATGGTATTTAAAGTACCGTAATACAGTACCTTATTTTGGTAAAAAAGATACCATAATTGAGGAAAAAGGGTGTGGATGATATTTATAAAAGTTGAGAGTTATTTTTCAATTAGATAAAAATTAATGCATATTTTTGATAATTTCCCTATATTTATCCCCATAAATATACTAATTTAACCCTATGAGATATAGAAAGTGAAAACAGATAATGGCATATGAGTGTTTGAATTTGTACCGTCCACCTTAAGATTACCTGGAACTTAACAAAAAATTTCCTTTTTATCTTTTAATTTAAAAATAGTTTTGTACATTTTATATTTATACTTGAGTTTCACTTTTTATAGTGTTGTAGTGAATGCTTATCACCATCAAAAGCCTTTTTTCTATCTAATTGGGGTCCACTACATAAATCATAGTTCGCCATTCTGCCCTATTAAGGGTCATATCTTTAGTAAGGGTTTGAGTTCCTATATATTTTCTCATTTTTTAAACCTTGTTATTTGGGGCCTACCTTTTGCCCTTGCTTAGCCTTCCACCTTAACTAACTCACATGTACTAACATGTATTGTGTTGGGTCTAGGCCACACATGGCCAACCCCCTTAAGTCTATTTTCTTTCATCTCATCACTTGTGGTCACACATGGTCAGCCCCCCTAAGTTTACTTTCTCTTATCTCATCAGTTGTTGGTTCCACCTCCTAATAGGTGTTGTACCGGGTCATTTCGAATTCCATCATTTATTGTCTTGCCACTTATCGACATCCTCATCCCAACTTCATTCATTCTACGAGTATATTGTTTTTTTACTGCCCAACTCATCCATTTAAAATCCTCACTTTTTTTTAATAGTGAATATCGTACTTTAATTTTATTTGTTTTTATGCATATGATTAAGCTCAAAATTTGGGCATCCATGTTTCTCACTATAACACACTTATAACAAATAAAAATACAAACACTTTATATAAAAATGACCAAAATACCTCTACAAATTTATGCATGGTTATTTCAAATATTTTATTTTTTTTTGTATTTTCACTGATATAACATGTTGAAAAGTATCAACTCTTCATATTTAAGCCTAATATGATGTATACAGGAGAAAAAAAAGTTAAAATATAATATGAACCCTTAAAAATATGGGATTTGAGTATAAAATCGAAAATATACATGACTATTTTAAAATTTTGTTAACAAAATAATATTTTTCATAAATTTCCCTGCTATTTACAACCACGTAACTTCGTGAAAAATGTCATCTAAGGGGACAAAACCCCGGGCAAAATCATTGAGGGGCCATAGCATCCCAATCAGCACTCAGAGTTTAAGTTTTAAATTTCATTGGGAAAATATCTTCATACCTCTTATTTTTAAGTTTCATTTCACAATTAGTGGCTAGGGTTAGAATATATTTTTTGAAACATTTAGTTTATCAAGAAATAAAACCTAAAAGTAGAGGATATGGAGATATTGTCCACCTAAGATTCTCATCCAAATAACATGAGTATTGTACTTGATCGTAGTGGATTAGATTACTCAAATATACCTATTTGTTCAGGTTCCCAACCCATAATAGAAGTAATTTGGACAAATTTTGAGTCATTTTTCAGAGGATGTAATTAAATGAAAATAAGAAACCCATAATTAATTGGGATCTTTTAACCCTTTGAGAGCTTCAAGGCAGCCATGATTAGCTAAAAGCAAAGCCACTGAAGAAAGAAAAACTTTTTGTAGCGTGCCGAAGCATGTCCATGAAGTACCATTATCATTGCCATTTTGACTCCATCGGAACTAGTAGTTATTATAATGGGGTGTTATGGAAAATAATATATATATATATATATAAATAAAGCCCTTCGCTACCACTTCCTCAAACACTAACAGGAAGATGTATGTTTTACCTGACTTATACCTCAAGCTATTACTGACTCGACTTGGCCAAATCTGAAGTGGATGGAGTGCGAGCCTTGACTCGTGACCAAGAAGGATCAGCCACAGACTAGGTGTAAACTTTGAGAATAAGGTGGGATCCACAGATGTAGTGGCTGGTGAATCACTGATAAAAAAGGCGATTTTGGAGAGATTCTTCATCGATCTAGTGGCCGGTAAATCATTGGTCAAAGAGCGAGCAGCCGCTAGGTTTGATAATACGGTGGGATCCACATATGCAGTGGTTGGTGAACCGCTTCTTCTTCTGGCCCTCCTAGCTTTTGCTTCACTACAGCAAAAAGCCCAGCCATTAGACCTTGCTTGCATCGAGATTATGTTGGTGTTCAGTGTACCCAATGCATTGGATGGATGCCCGGGAATTGAGAAGGAAGGACGCTTGAAGAGGTGAAAGGCCATGGTGGTTTATCCTGTGGCGGATGTCAGTAGTTCGAGTCCGCTTTATCTCCAGCTCGTGATCTTAGCCAATACAAAGGCATATGACAGCACCCATTTTTTCCAATTCAGCAGTTCGATATATGATTTATTCATAACGAAAATTACGATCAAGAGTTACTCTACCAATCACCATCTACTTCAGAGATACTTTATGAAACACTTTTCAAATACAATAGTTCACTATCTTCCAGCCGAAGGGAGCTTTTTCTTTCGATTAAGCTTCATCACCTTTGCGGTAATGGCTGGTGGAGCTTTATTCGAAGTCGAGGTGGTCATTGTGACTGAAGCATCATGTGTAGTCCCACTCGGGAGAGGAACCAAATCAACCTTTATGCAAAAATGAACTTTTTCCTCGCAAGATCGACAAAAAGGTCTATCCGGCCCGGATAGGAGTGACGGTTCCAAGGGAAGGAAAACGGGGGCAGACAACGAAGGAAGATGAACTACATAAGTGGGACACAAGACGGATAAAAAAGGACAATTAGACAGAAGGGAAAGGAAAACGGTCATCCAGCAAGTGGAGTGCATATGCACGGAGCGAGCCATGAGCGGGAACGAAAGACCGAAAGGCCATGCAAAGTAGATCCCAGAAAAGCCAAGTTAGGAACAACGATACCAAGGAACATGGGAGCAAAGCCAACCGAGAAAGGACTGAACAGACATAATGAATTAATGGATAGGGGACCTTTACAGGGGCATCATATATATATAGAGCAATGATTTCTTGCAACGGTTGCATCATAATATGATTTAATAACCTTAAAAAACCATGTTATGGCCATTTGTTTGATCTAAATTTTGAATTATACACTCTTTTCACTATAATGAATAATAAAAAAAAAAAAATTGAAAACACAACTTAGAAAGTATTTTTTAGCACAATTAATATAGGCCGTTCATTTTGGTGAGATACTTAGATCTAACCTTTGGAAGGATTTTTTTGTTTCCAATCTTTTTAGATGACATTATTATCATTAGATGAACAATGTTAAAAAAGAAAAAAATGATTTTGAGTTTATAAAAACTAAGATCTTGAAATTCACCAAATGAATGGTCTAGATTTGTTTTTGGAAGGGACTCATTTTGACCATATCTAGGGTTCGAATTGATTTTTATTTATTTTTGGGATTGATAATTGAGATGAAGAGAGTGTGTGTGCCAAATGTTGGGTTATACAAATAACACAGACATGGTTTTCTAGAAGTGTCGTTGCATTATAGTATGATGGAAGCATTGCATAAAATCATTGCTTATATATATATATATATATATGGAAAAGTCTTCTCAATGCATATAGGTGAAAATGATTAGTGATTTCGCCTACCCTAATTACCGTCAAAAGTTCATTGCATGATCACGATTGTCCGGTATTGTTTAATTTTTATTTTATTTTTATACAAATCATAATGATCTAAAATTTGGAGCGTATGTACATCTTAGCGAGGTGCACCTAATAAAAATATAAAAAAATAACTCTAAATTTTTTTTAACCAAAATACCCCATAAACTTTCCAGGAATATTTTGGTCAATTTATTTTATGTAAAATATATTTTTGATATTTTTCGTAGATTCTCCTATTTTTTATGAACACACACGCCAAATTTCAAATTATTCGATTTTTATAAAAAAATAAAAAATAAAAATAAAATATTACCAAACAATCGTGACCGTACGATGACTTTTGGAAGGTGATGAGGGTAGGAGAAATCACTGTTTTATCTGATAGTGTTTTATTTTTTATTTTTTTTTTTACAAATCATAATGATTTGAAATTTGGAGCGTGTGTTCATAAAAAATAGATGACTCTACGAAAAAGAATCAAAAACATTTTTACATTAAATAAATAAACAAAAATACCCCTGAAAAGTTTAAGGGGTATTTTGGTCAATTTATTTTTCATGGATTATTATTTTTTTATATTTTTATTAGGTGCGCATCACTAAGATGTAAACACACTCCAAATTTTAGTTCATTTCGATTTGTAAAAAAACTAAAAAATAAAATACTACCGGACAATCGTGACCGTGCAATGAACTTCGAACGGTAATGAAGATAGGCGAAATCACTGGTCATTTTCACCTGTAGGCGCTGGGAAGATTTATATATATATATATAGACATGAGTGTAAAATATAAGTAATTAGATAAATTTGATAGATAATGCTAATTATAAGGGACATTGGAGCAATTTTCCTAGAGAGGAGTGCATTATTGTCCCCTTTCATGATGGACTTGTCGTTTGGCATAGAGCACCTTGAGCCAATTGATGAAACTACCCCTATTTGGTCAGAGACTCAGGTTTGGGCCTCGGCCATGTCTGGACAGGCTTAGTGTTTCCCTTAAATTTTTATTTTTCTAAAAACGTAATTTATCAGTCCGGCCCTATATTAGTCCAATGGGTTAGGCCCCTTCAACATGTTCTTGGTGGGGCTTACCCTAGGGATGGTTTGCCCTAGAGCTGACAAGTTGCTAGTCCTAGCCGACCCAAGTGGGCGATTGGGCTCAAGAAAGTACCCGACTCAAAATATTTTTATTAAGTTAATTGTTATATACTTATATCGATTGATTTGATCACCTCATTTCCAAAGTGATTTGACCAATTTAGTGGGTTTCCTATAAACTTTAGTTATACATGGCCATAATATCAAAAGACCCGATTTCTATGCACCCCAAGCCCGCATGTATAGAAATGTGGGCCGTTTGATAAATTTAGTTTTTAGATGGATTTTGAGACATAAATATGAAAAAATAAATAATTTTAAAATTTAAAATAATAATTCCAGTAAAAAAACATTTGGATCGTTAGTTTCCATTGTTTTTTGATTGAAGACCTACTTGCGTCCATCTTTAAGATGGATGCTTTACAATTTTTGGACCGCATATGTAGAAATGCGGTCCAGCCCACATGAAACACCTTTCCATATCAAAAAGTTTGTTTGAGATATAATAAATAAGCTCGATAATTCACGATGACACAATCCATCATATGTGGATAAAGGGCAAAATATAATAAAATAACTTAAAAAATCTCTTAAATTGTTCTTGTTCGGGCTCGAGAATCTTAAACATCCAGTGACTCTAAATTACAAAAATACTATTGGTACATGCCATTATCTCAATGCAGCCCATTTTAAAAAATAATATTTTTTATAAAATGTAACAACCAAAGTACTTCTGAAACTTTTAAAGGTATTTTGGGTATTTTATTTTACTAGAAATTTTTTTTTAGATTTTTTACTAATGTGAGTTTAAGAGAGGAGTGGATTCTCAAAATTTGGTGGGAAAATATTTCGCACAAAAAAAAAATTGCAATGTCACATTGTGATTAGGGCCTTATCAGTTGCTCATTCGAATGAACGGTTGGCTGAAAAAGTGTATAAATTTCGAATTTGTATATAGTGAATTAACTATGGTACAGTATGGTCACACTTCCGTACAAATTTAATATGAAATTTGATAGCTTTATGTATCGAAAAGTTGGGGAAAATCAAATTTGAAAAATTGAGCTTGATCAATGGAATAATTATAGCAATTGAATTCCACATCCGATGGTCATTATTGCGACCACCTCTCGTTCCTTACTTTACCACAAAATTGTTAAGAGCATGGACAGTTTCGAAAGCTTACTTTAAAACGTCATCCTCTTGGCGCCCGAATTGTCCACTTCTTCGCGCCTCACAAGCTTAGCTTCTTCCTGTAGAGCTTCACTGGCGTGGTCATCCACGGCTAATTAGGGTTTCTCCTTTTCCTTGCGCCTGAGCCCTGATGGCCACCTGGCTCTAGGGTTTTTACAGACGCCATTGGCTTCTCTCTCTAGACTGGAAAAGCTCAATTTCCAGCAAAGCTAGCGGTTTATTTTGACAACCTTATCCTTTTGTCTTTCACCATCAATTCGAGATTCTTACCCATGCATTTAGAGTTTCTCCCCGTTCTATTGATTGCATGAATGACCAAATTATTCCGGTTTTCTCACACTAGACTGAAAACCCCAAGTATAAAATGGCGTTCTCAAGGCCAAGCTTCTTCAGTCCCAGAGTTTACAGATGCAATCCATTTTTATTCCCGACCACATTTCGTTCATATTGGTCGGGTTCATCTACGAGTCAGTGGAAGTTCAAGCGTCTCAGTCGAAAATCTTTCTCAGGTGTTTTTCCTATCTATTTTTCACTTGAAGATTTATCAGCTTTTGGTACTGAAGATTTGTAGCTTCAAGGTCTGATCGATTATTATTATTCTTCTTCTTCTTCTTCTTCTTTCTTTTTTTTTTTTTTTTTTGAAAATTTGAATTTGAAATTTCAGCCATGGCAGCGGTAAGAGGTGGATTCATCTCTCCAGAGACTTCGAAATCATTTGATTTTACAGCCGAGGAGAGGATATATAGCTGGTATTACAAATGCACTCAGTATTGTCTTGCTAATCACTAGCCATACCTATATTTTTTAAGCCTCATGAGAAAAATGGGCCATATTGCTCTTCCTATACTTGGTGTCAATTGGATATGAAAAATATTGTCAATGTTTTTATTTGCACTGTTGTGTTACATGACTAGACTGGTGCACCGCATGAAAACCAGGAGCTGCAGAGCGAGAGAGAGAGAGAGAGAGAGAGAGAGAGAGAGAGAGAGAGAGAGAGAGAGAGAGAGAGAGACGACGTACGTACGTACGTACGTACGTACGTACGTACGTTACGTTACGTTACGTACGTACGTTACGTACGTACTACGTACGTACGTACGTACGTACGTCGTTACGTTACGTACGTTCGTACGTTACCGTACGT